AAAATAAGCACGTAGGTTGCAGGTGGGGGAAGTAACTAGGCAATACGTTCCTTTTGAACCACAGGAACTTACCCCTCGGACTAGAAACCTTTTGAGGGACTTACTGCGTTTCAACCACAGGGACCAGGGTGTAAAATTAAGTTCCAGAAACATTATTTTACCCCCCAGAGAGTCCCTTATCAGGAAGGTGATCCATTCTGAAAGTACAGGAACTTTAGGGGTGGGTATTGTGGGCAGGGATGACGGTCACTGATTGGTCTAACACACACAGTGTGGTTGCTTCAACACATACACTTTATACAAACTTTGATTGATAACAATACAAGTACTGTGAGAAAAACTGAACGAGAGAAATAAAATGTTAATTTCTGATTGTTTCATTTCAGTTACTCTAAAACACAAATCTTAGCTCTTAGTTTCACTTTCCTCCTCCGCATTTCATTCATCGCAGCAATACTGTGAAGCAGTGAATGTTGTCGCAGTGAAACAAAACTGAAAGTATAATTTTTTACCAAGTGTTTTTTAGATGAAGCTTACTCCCCCTAAAGCCAAAAGCCAGCTGTTGTGGGATTTTTTTTATCCATTGGAAAAGGGGCATAAAACAAAGGGACATATAGGCACTGTGAGATAATATTAAATCAAACAAAAGGAGAATCAGCTCTTGAATGATGTCATAGTTATTACATCCTGCATGTTTTCATGTTGTTATTCTTATATGTTTGTGGTTTCAGGCAAAGCAAAGGAGTTTTGCTCTTGAGCAACGCAACAGAGAATTGGCAACAGCACAAAGCAAACAGGTACAATTATAACCTCAAGCTGTTAATTAGATCTTGCTGCAGGAACACAAGCATAAACGCCTGTTTCTCCAAATACCACATTATTTATTTGTGTCCCTTCAGGATTTGTTAGTGTTTCTGCCTGTGGGAAGCCCTTTGAGTTTGTCCTCCAGCATCCCCTCCAGTCTGGCTGCCACGCCGCCCAGTCCCGCCCCTCTCGGACCCCCAGGATCCAGCATCTCCTCAGGCATGAACGCTAATGCCCTGCCCTTTTACCCCACCAGTGAGACTGTGGAGTCAGTTGTCGGTAAGTAAAGATATACAAAATTCTGAATCAAAGGTTCAAATCTAAAATGACTGTTAAGCTGATGATGGTGTGGTGTGGTATGTTTTACAGAGTCAGCCTTGGATGATCTCGACCTGAATGATTTTGGTGTGTCGGCGTTGGAGAGGAGCTTGGAGAGCAGCTCAGCTCTGCCCAATGTGGGAGTTATGCTGGGTATTTCAAAGACACAAGAACAAACACATAGATCTAATGACAATTTGAATATGGACACGACATTTAGCAATATGCATTTGTACATGAGCATAACTTCTAATTATTTGTCTCCCTTTTATAGGAGGTAGCCAGTTTCAGAGTTCTGCCCCGGTCAATATCCCAGGATCCTTTAGCAGCTCTGCACCTTTTAGCTCCCCGTCACCATCTCCCCCAATCAGGCCGCACACCTCACCGTTTTTTTCTACTCACCTGTCACAACCTGGCCAATCAGAAAGCACTTTCTTGGGACCATCTCATAGCTCTTTAGGTATGTGGAATTTCATCTAAGACATCAAGTGGTGCAGTGATAATATGATTTTGCTGATATTTATTCTTTTCTCTGTAGGTCTGAATGGTATGAGCACTAATATCTGGGAGCATTTTCCATCAGGCCAGGGCTCCCCTGGTACACCCCCCACCCTCCTGCCCTCTGGCCCCTGTGCAGAGACTTCCAGGCTCAAACAGGAGCTGGAGGAAGCTCACAGGGCACTGAAGCAGTGGGGTCACAGCTGGAGACACACAGCTCAGGTAGGTAGGTAGTGGGGCATGTGTGCATGAATGTTTGTGAAACAGCTGTTTGAGTTAGTGCGGTGAGCTGCATGATTTATTCATATTGCAGTGACTGGGGGAGTTAATTACAGTTTTGACTGGGTATTATGTATTCTGTCTCTCTCAGTCGTGGGCTGCGCTGAAGGCAGATGCAGAGGAGTCACGTGCCCATGCAGCACGGTTAACCATGGAAGCAGAGAGAGCCAGGCAAGCGGAGGAGGAGGCACAGAGACAGGCTTCTCTCCTGCAGGAGGCGCTAGAGAGCTTAAGGAGTGGAGAAAACCCCCATCTAGCACTGCATCAACTCCAGTTACTACACAGACTGCCTTTGGAGTCAGTCCTCAGTTTGCAGGCTCAACTCTGTAGCTGCTTACACGCTGTGGAACAGGTAATACCACAGACTCATAACAAGCATGATAGATCTAAACATGGCTCTTCTTTGTAGAATCTATGATTGTATGTGTCACTGTAACAAATCAGTGTTTGTTGGCATTTTTAAAGAATAATAGGTAGTTGATGAGGTAATACACAACAACTCATAATTCTCATAATCAGACTTAACTCCTTTTTTAAAATTAAGTAACAGTTATGGCAATTAAAGATATCAATAGATATATCATAGATATGGTTTTTGACTGGTTAGAATTCCAAGCCAGCATATCCACAATGTAACTTGAAATGGGACATTATAGTTCTACTTGTCACAGTTCTTTTGCAACATGTTGAAAGTTGGAAATTGTAGATATCAGTAATCACTATTCTTACAAGTGAAAAGGAGTTACTGATATAATGAAAACTATCCATACATCAGTTTTGACGTCTTAGTCTAAATGCAGTTTCTACATGTGAAAATATATTTGTAGCATGTCAAATTATTTTACAAATATCCTAAATTAACATTTCAACATGTAGAAAAGTAATTTCTGGTTGTAAAAACTAAATCACTCTTTGTCAGCGCTACTGATTAAATGTTAAAAGGGCATTGCCATAGTAATGTAGTGTGATTTTTTTTTTTTTTGTGTAACAGTGTAAAAAGTGTCAAAAATATTAACAAATGCCTATTGCGTGTTCCCAGAGCAAGTGTCACTTCTATTGTTTTCCGTTGTCATTCTTTTGCTGACGTTATTTTTAGGTTTCCTTTGCTCACACAATAATGGTGAACATCCAGCATGTCCAGTTTTAAAGGCTTGAATATTTTCCTCTGCGTTTCCCAAGGTGGTATACAGGAAACAGAGACAGTGCTGTGTGACGTGTGGAGAGCAGGGCTCAGTGTCCCTGCCCTGTGGCCATGGACTACAGTGTGAGAGCTGCTCCACCTCTACAGAGTGCCCGCTCTGCCCTGAACAGACCCTGGAGCAGCAGCTCTCTTGACCCTACAAACCCAATCGGACCACAACAGACCACCACAGATTCCAGACCAGTCAGTCCTGATTCCACAGATACCAGCCTTGGATCTCAACCGCCATCCAGAATTACGTCGAGGTCATTTTATAATGTGTTAACAACACAAGCGCCGGTCTGGTTTTGTATTTTTAAGATGACGTTTACTGATGAATGACCAGCGCAGGTCAGTAAGTGAAAGCTCTAAATGTGGAATTTAGGATTAACAACTTTTCTAGTGGTTACCCATGGAACACCAGTACTTTTTACTAGTTAATGCTCTTGACCAGCAACACTGTTCTATACCCCAGTTCTTGATTTGTGAAGATAACCTTTTAAAGACCTGCTGTTATTTCTTCTCTTATCGTAACTATGAAACATTTACATTTATAGCTGAAAATCATATTTTGACATGTTTTTAAAGCATAAGCCCACCCTAAAGAGTGTCATCTATCCATCTGGACAGCCTCAGTGTGATTTGCAGAAGTTTCAAGATGTTCACTGTCACCTTTGTACAACAGAAGTTAATTGCACTCAAAGCTCCAAAACATTTCATATGAAACTTAAACCATTAGGTCTCTTTCCAGAAATCAGGACAGTTACAGTTACTACAGTAACTAAGAGGTATTTCTACTAAGACACACTAACTGTATATGTCATATAGAACGAAGTACAGCAGTACTCATGGATGAGATGCATATGTGCACATATGTGAAGGTTGAACTACAGTGGTCTTTGTCCCCAGAGGTATTACTAATGCCTCTTTTCCACCAACATGGAACTGGTTCTGTTTGAGCATTTTGACCAAAAACAAACTGGTGCGGAACCCGAAAAGTTGGCTCACAGCTGAAAGCAAAAAATCGCAGGTTTTTCTTAACCTGAAATGCTAGCTGTGATGATCTGGCACCAATGAAGGAGTCAAGTGAGAAATTGTTGGGGGGGAGCAGGCAGTGGTCTTAGTAATAGTTGGCACATGCTTGTATTTTTGTATTAAATCAAATATCTGTGATACCAGAACAAAAGCTTGCATGTAATCAATGCAATCTACCACTTTGCTTTTACCCTTTACTTCCACTGTGTGTTGTGCATTGCCCTCTATTGTTGACACATCCTTGATTACAATAGTTTGGCTCAAAAGTGGTGGAAAAGCACCAGAATAGAATCCAGAATAGAACCAGTTCAAGAACCAGAGCTAACTTTTTGGAAAAGGGGTATAGGTAATGCTTGATGGCCAGGTAGTGTCACTCTGGTTCACTCTGCTGTGTGCTCACATCCAATTCAAGCTATCATAACTAACTGTGTAATTTCTGAAAAGAGGCAAATTTCGTTGTGTTGTGTGACAGCAAAGATCTCAAAACCTTCCAGATGGATGGATGACACGGCAGGTTAGCATTTAGCAGGGCTGTGAGCTTTCTTCAATATAATCAACAGGTCTGACTGAAAACACTTAAAGGGCATATTAAGCATCATCCAGACTATGATCCTACATTGCTTCAGCCAAAAGGGGGCCGATATACCAGTCTGCTGGTAGCGCTTGTCTAAATTATATTGAATTTCTTGTTTAATTTAGATTTTTTTTTTCATGGTCAATTACTGAATAATAAATGAAAATATTTAAAAATGTAGAAATATTTGTTTAAATTTTACAACAGATGGCCTCTGTTAAAGCACTCAGGTTTTCTCTAATATTCTTCTACATAACAACTGGAAGAGGTAAGCATGTTAACACAGTCAAGGCAAAATGTACTCAACTTGTGTAGTCTTTGAAATTACATGTTTTTTAATTTTTATTTAAACGCTTTTCATGTTAACTTGAACATACAAACAACTTTTTGTTAAAATCGGCCCATTTTCTATGTTTAAAATCAATGTGCGACAGGTTTCTCTGCCAAAATTTTTACATTTGTAGTAATCTTTGACATTTCACAGTGTGTCAAATGTAGTCGAATATATATATATTATATATATATACACACATAGTTAAGTGATGTCATACTTATCTCTTGCACTGATTAGACAAAGCATCAGGAAGCAGACAGATATGTAAGGTGTATGAGGTTTAAAATGCAGGTGTGAAAGTGTTCATGATCACTGTGATGGTCTTTGGTAAACCCATGCTCGGCATACTGTCCACACACAACTCATCCAACACCAGTGTTTCTTTCTGAGTGGATTTTTCTTTGTTTTTGGTACAGATCATTAAAACAAATTGTATATTTTTGGAGGATGGAATTGTCTGCGTGTGTCTGTTACAGTTGAATCCCCTCCTGTGATTGTTTCTCTCTCTGTCTTCGCTTCTTCACATAGGCCTGAGCCTCTCGCTCCCCTCTCCTGGACTCCAGTAACTTCAGAATGCTGTCCTCTGGAAAATGTACAGAGAGACAAGTTTAGGATTTGCAGGATAGTGAGATTGGCACTTAGATTTGAATTTGCTAATTTTAAAATATGGATAAATGCAGCTTTAAGGTGGGTACTTGTTATGTCCTTGTCTTAAAGACCGCTTTATACATTGAAGTCCGTGTTTAATGAGATCAGTCATCAATCATATTACTTCACCACACAACTATTACCTTAAATGTGGGGTCAGATAGGGTTTAAAGGAATACTTCACCCCCACCCAGTCTGAGTTTGCCGTTGACTGCTCCAGTGGAGGCATGTCGCTGAGGTCTCTTCGAAGATTTAAGCAATGTGCTCATCTGCAGCTGTGACTGGGAAGAGCCTCTTCCTGTAGCTGTTGTTTTTGTGTGTGTACTTACGCATTTTGATTCATAGCAAACCATTTTCATTTAACTTCTTGGATAGGTCTTAAAACAGAGGACACAGAGTTAAGGGCATTCCTTACCTCTTTCCAGGCCTTTGATTTACCTGTCCCTGTCACACCACTACTAACAGAAGAAAATAAAACGCTTTTCTCAACCCCACTTCCCCTAAAATAACTTCAGTGTCAGCGTTGTAAAAGTTTTTCTTTTTTTCTTTCTCTCCCTTTCTTTTTTTGCTCCATGTTCATAGGTTGAAAGGATGCACCTATCCATAGTAATGATCACCTCCATATATATATATATCACTGGCTATTCATGGGCGGCGATGTATGCTAATTGCCGACTAGTGGAGGAAGCTTTCAATTTGCAGTTGATTGGCATTCATGAACATACACATATGTCTACGATCAAATCTGAGTTTACCGCGGCGTTCATGAATCCAGTGTAGGTTTTTAGTAGCCAAGGTTTTTTATGTGCAAATCTACACTCAGATTCACAAACATTTCATGAATGAGACCCAGTAATTTTACCCTGTTAAACACTGAAGCTTCTAGTCTACCACTGCCTCGATCAGTTAGTTTGTTTGTGTTATTGTGTGACTTTGGTGTTTTAAATGGCTAATTAATATAAAAGAAAAATTAAACCTGCTTCATTGGTCTTAATACCCACTGACGGATCGTACCATTAGGTTTAGGATGCATCAGAGGCAGTCGCATCTGAGCGGGGGTGGCGTCCTCTTTACCAACTCCTGGTATGTCCTTGAGGGCCAGGAAGGCCTCGCCTTCAAAGTCATCTGTCCTCAAGGTGTCGTGGTCCAGAACCGTCACCACCAGGCAAGCCCCTGGAGCCTGGCACTGATCCAGGGTTACCAGACTGTGACATGAGACAGAGATCAGAGGATGAAGATCAAGGGGGTCAAAAACAAATGGAAAGAGGATGGCTGTTCACTCTGGAGAATAACAACTGAAATGTGACATAGAATATTAACAAATATAAGACTAACAACTTACAATTCAAAGACCTCATCAAAAAGGGGGTTGAGATCACAGCTTTTGATCTGAGTGCAGCGAGGCTCTACCTCCCGAAAAACATGGTTAGGCTCCAGACACAGCTGCACAAAGGGATCGCTTAAACCTGGCAAAAGCATCAAAGCATTAGGCCGTCAGGAAAGGCTGCATAGCAATGTGCATTTCCTGTATATACCTATAACGCTGCAATTGTTCTGCATCTTCCTACCGTTAGAGTCCATTGGTAAGAGGTTGACTGCATTCAACACCTCAACTCTGAGTCTTTCGTCTGATCTCCTGTAGGAAGTGAGGAGAGTGACTGCACCATATTTCTCTCCAATGTAATCCCTCTGTCGTGCACATAGGAGAAACAGAGAATGTTTGAACAACTAGCATGACCCTGTTGGAGCCTGAGAAGTGTTTATTGGAGACGCCTTCCTCACCTGCTCCCTTATTTTCTTTTCAAGGAACTTCTCCACAAGCTGCCAGCTGCTCAGAGAGTTGTGAGTCAGGTGGGATTTGAGAGCCTGGACACAGGAGAGAAGGATGAAATGTGAATGAAGCATATCATTAATGCAAGGGAAGTTGATTTGTATAGCATGTTTCATCCATGGTGACAATTCAAAGGGCTTTACATAAAACTACATAAAAGAACAGAGTATATATAAAGATTAAGAAGTATAAAATGCATATAACAAAAAAATGTATTTAAAAAAAAATGACACACACTTATGATCCAACGAAATGTTTACTTTAGTTACTCACTTTGTACTCATCGGAGTGGAGTGTACCCAGAGGGAGCCCATTGCCCCCAGCGTGGAAGCACTCCTCCAGACACTGAAATTCACACAACACAAAATAAAATGTAGCATGAAGCTAAGGCCCCCCAGTAAACCCCAACATATTGTTTATGCATACATTCAACTAGTGAGGTAAAAAATATTAATTAGCAAGCTTTAGAGGTGCTGATAGGTGGATTTATTTGACCCTTGGTAAGGGGCCAGGCTAGCTCTTTCCCTCTGCTTGTAGTGTTCATACTAAGGTAGGCTAAGTGAAAAGTGTTAAAGGCACGGGTGCAGATCTGATGACAAGTTTGGAGGGGACACAATCAGTTGTGATTTTTTCTTAATTGCACGCATGCAAATCATGCCCACAGAGCGCTTGAGATTGCCAGCATATTTCATGATTTCATAGAGGCTCATCACCAATCAGAATCATATGCTTACCTTTACTGTTTATTTCTCTTAAACAGCCAGTAGTACATGGAACCAGCCATCACCCTCTTTTTCACTGCTTCGCTGTTAGTTAATGCTACTTCTAGTTTCAGGGTCTCAGGCATGTTATGTCCACTCACGTTCTCATCTCTCGCCTCTCACGGATTCCCATTTCTCCTCATCATCTTCCCTTTCTCCCAGTATATAGGACTACTGTATACATTTGTTCAATTTCAATCATTTAAGCTATTTAGAATTGGGGGGGACAATTTGTGTTTTTCAGAATTTGGGGGGGACATGTCCCCCCCGTCCCCCCCGGGATCTGCACCCATGGTTAAAGGACATCATTTTCCAACGTTCATTCATTTTCCTCATACACACACATTTGGGTGCAACTATAAACCAGTTTATAATAATAGGCGGCAGTAGCTCAGTCCATAGGGACTTGGGTTGGGAACTAGAGGGTTCTTTATAATGTATATAATTGGAAGAGTGTTTAGGGACCTCAGTATGCAGAAATAATTTTGAAAGAAGGCAATGTTCCTTTTTCCCTCGTCAACATTTAGCACAGCTTTGGAGAATTATATGCCCCCTTCCTGACAAGATAATTAGTACCAATGGATGCTTTACGTCCTTTAGTTTAATATGATACCTGTGTCTTCACTGTAGCTTTTAAACTGAGCCTGATACAGCAGGTTTTATTTGCAAACATTAGTCTGTCTCACTTTTCACCTTCAGCTCAGCTTTCATGATAAAATGACATTTATTTATCATGTAAATACATATCAATTGTTTTGTCAGTGATATAAGTCAGTAAGTAAATTATTGTACTTGATCCAATTTAAAGGTCAACCATAGACATTTTCACCGCCTGGTGAAATATTGTCTTAGGTTTTAGATATTGTGATATTATGTTGTCCTTTCCTGCTTTTAATGGCTGCATTACAGTAAACTGATGTAATTTTCTGAAATGACCAGACTATTTAAGCTGTTTTATTATTTGCCTTTACCCATAGCATGGAGTAAAAATGTTACGGTGGTTACTTCTTTTTTCATATCTGTTACTTATTCAGTCTCTATTACAAACTTGGTGCCACCTAATTTTGCACAATGTAGCAGTGCTGCTTTAGATGGAGATGGACAGTATTTTATGGCAGTGTGTCACTGTATCACGCCAGAAAAGTTTCCGTCACTGCCCATCAGAGCCAGTCGGAGCTGGAGCCGGGGGGGGGGGGGCTTTTTGCCTTTAATTGAGAGGACAATGTGGAATGGGGAGAGGGGGGGGGGGGGGGGGGGGGGGGGGGGGGGGGGGGGGGGGGGGGTTGCAAGCCAGAATCGAACCTGTGACCGATGCAGTGAGGCAGTGCCTCTGTACATGGAGGAGGCTCTATCCACTACGCAACCGACGCCCCATAACTGATGTTTATATATTTAACATCTCATTGTCTAAATATTTTATGAAAGCACCAATTGTCAACCCTATAATACTGTTGCAATATCATTATCAAGGTATTTATTAAAAAATATTGTGATATTTGATTTTCTCCGTATGGCTCAGCCCTGCTTGGCTCTTCAAGTGGAATTCTTCTGAGCCGAACCACAACCTAATTTACTACATGACTTTACTACAATACTAGTATCTTCTGCCTTGGTAGTTGAGATAGCTGCACAGCTGAGGACTGACCTGCAGTGTATACAGCAGTCTCTGGCAGAACACCATGAGCCCTTCTTGCTGTGGATGCTTAGTAGCCCCCTGGTAGAGTATCTTCACTGAGTTATTCCACAATGGAGTCAGAAGACTGGACACGAGAGAAAAAACAGGTGAGGTGATGCAGAGTGAAACACTGGATTAAATCAACATGGAACCATCAGAGCAAGGCAATAATTATAATATAAATCTGATCCATAGTTAATTTTGTCAAAGTAAAACTTGCGTCTGCGACTAACCTGTTTTATTGGGGGTAAAAATGCACATGTTCTAAATATCGAGGGGAACTTGTTCCCTGCGTCCTCCTGTCCTCCCCAAAATCTATGCCTATGATTTAAATGTATTGAAAAGAAATTAATGTAGGACCCCTAGACTTCCTGGCAGATTTGGTCCCCGCCAGTGTTGACTCCATGGTTACAGCCCTGCATCAGAGCTCACAATGAAAGATCTGTGACCTGTACGTACCTATTGAAGTTCTCTTGAACCAGGTTTTCATTCATATAGTGCAGCTCTTGCTCCAGGTAGCGCATCAAAGGCGATACAGCCTAAAAGAGAAGAGGCTGGCTATATCAGGCATACATTAAAAGGCATCTGTGTTTGTGTTACACTGGCAGTGACGGTCACCTACATCCTCTGTAGACTTGGAGGGAATCCTACGCCTGGTTGACATGCTTCGGACGTGAGTCTCAATGTCTGTGTTTAACTGGAAAGGCAGACAGAAGGCAGATGGAGAGATCATGTTGAAGGCTTCTCTTTAATCTACATCATAATTTTGTTTTAGTTCCAAGGATTTAGTGCTGATCAAATGTTGCACGTTAAATGTCACACCTTTTTCCCAAGAGTGTCTAAAGCGGAGCGAATCTCTCGGCCGAGGACACTCTGGGCTTGCTGTAGCTGCGAGGGCAGAGTGTTTTGGAACTGGCTCTCCCCTATCACATTTTGGGTCCGTTCTCGAAGCCCCGCCCAGTTCAGCTGCGTAGGTAGTTTGGTCAGCACTGACCGTAAGTGCTCCAAGTCATTCACCACCACACACAACTAGAGACAGAGAGAGGAGAAATATTTGACATGTGTATTATGTAGCATTAGAAATTTGTCATTTCTCCTTGCATGTCCTTACCATGTTGATGGCACTGCCGTGGTCGGAGTTCTCAGACAGGACCCTGACTCTCTCCTTCAGGATGTGACAGTAGTTCACCACAATCTTACACACATCCTGAAAACACACAGAAAGCAAAGGTAGACCAGAGACAGCAGTCCCATGCTCAGGTAATCTGACCAGTAAAGCGTCTGTTTAGGACCATGTTAACAGCAGAATACTGTACCTCAGTGAGTTTAACCATGAGCATGAAGGCCTCCTCTGGGTCGGGCCAGGACAGCTGCTCCCACAGCTGGCAGATAGGTTGGATACATGCCACCAGGTCCACTGCTGAGGAGCTGTGTTTTATAGGCACGGCACCAGACTGCAGGGGCTGGAGCTAAGAGGAGAGTTGAAAACATATGACAATACTGCCTTTAGATGAAATTACCTATGTTTATCATAGTAATAAAGCACAAAGACATAATTTTTACCTGGTCTACCTGGACCGCCCTCTCCACCCTGTCCTGAGTTGTGCTGAACGCCTGGTTCAACCAGTAAGGCAGAGCCTCTCTGAAGCCCTCTTGAAAGTTTGTCAACTCAAGTAATCCTCTGAAACAACAGTAAGAACTTTTAACATTTTGATGTTCATTCAGTAGGCAGGGTGGGAGTGTTTGTGCTTGTAGCTGTATCTTGAAATGATTCACAATCTGCATTTCTCAGGAGGTATTGTTATGTGGGAAGATTGTGGACTAGGTCAACTAATATAAAAGTAGCTCAAAAAATGTATAAATTATGATTTGGTATAACAAAAAGCTAAGAACACTTGTAATAATTACCCACAATTAGTGGGCAGGCAGGTGAAATTGCAATTTAAAAGTAATGGAGAAACAGTTGAAATAATGAGATAATAGCAATGGATAAACAGTGGAAATATTAGCTTAAAGTAATGTAAAACAGGTGAACTATTAGCTAAAAGTGACGTTAGCTAAAAGTAACATTTATGGATAAACTGTTAGCTAAAATCAGGTAAAATAATTAACTAAAAGTACTATATAAACAGGTGCATTAATTAGCATTTGGCCAGGCCTATAAGTTATGAATAAAAGGGTAACATAATTAGCTAAAAGTAACAAATAAACAGGTAACATAATTAGGCCAGTTAAAAGTAATGGATAAACAGGTGGAATAATTAGCGTCTAGCTAGGTCTATCGCTAATGAATAAAAGGGCAACATAATAAGCTAAACGTAACAGATAAACAGGTAAAATAATTAACTGAAAGTAACAGCCCTTAGCTAGCTTTAACTAATGAATAAAAGGGTAACATAATTAGCTAAAAGTAATAGATAAACAGGTGAATTTATTTGCGTTAAATAATGTATGAAAGGATATTATAATAAGCTTAAAGTAATGAATAAACAGGTGAAACATTTAGCGTTAGCTAAAGTAATGGATCAACAGGTGAAATAATTGACTAATTTTTATTAGATAATTAGGTTACATAACTGACATAGCTAAAAGTAAAAAAAAAAAAAAAAAAAAGTACGCAATTGAAATAATTAGCTAAAAGTAGCCTAATGAGTTCAACTGTTATTCAATAGTATCAATATCAAATACCAATTCAGCTGTATAAAAATATTGAAACAACATCCAATTTTATGTAGTGTTACTTAACATCCACTTTCAAAGCAGTTAAAATGAACATATCCGGGATGTGATGGTGGTGTAACATTAATATAAAGGTGCTGACCTCATCTGATAGGGAGGAGGATGTAATGGGATTGGAAATAACAGCCGTAGAATAAATTAAGGGGTGAATATGATCACTGACCTTTTCTGTAAGAAAGCCTTGTCTTTGTGGATGGCCTGCAGGCTCAGGTAAACAGGGAACAGGCTGTTGGCTAGAGTCTGCTCCATCTGACCCTCAATCAGGGATAAGGTTTCCCTCACTTCCTTTGCAAGCTATAGAGCAGAGAAGAGGTTAGACTGAAGCATACAACAGAAGTTTCTCAAGAAAACTGAAAGTTGAGGGCACACAAACAGTTCAATTTGCCACTTACCAGGGAGTCAAACTTCTTATAGACGACAGTAAACACATCCACTTGCACGGCACTATAATAATGAAGGAAAAAAAACAACAACACATTAATAATTTAATGATGAAAAGAATTGAAAATATTTCTCATGTAGTTTGGTTCCTGTGTTGAAAGCCACAGTTGTCTCTATTAAGTTTTTTGGACATTTTTGTGAGTACCATTAAACCCAACATGACTTCTTTTTTTTGTACCAGCCTAAAGCCCTGTTGTGCATTAAAACCCAGTTTGGTTTGGTTTGACATATCAGAGCAAGAAAAGCACAGGTGTAACTAATAGCGTTTACAATGGCCATTTTAGTGTCCAGGTGAGCCATTCCAGTCAGCCAGCAAACACAAAACCAGGACTCTGGAACCGACAAACCTAAATGTTATGCAGGCAAGATCAGTGTTTATTTATCACACCTGGTGACACCAAGTCAAAATGTCTGTCTATTAATGGAGATAAGTCAATGCTTGTACTTCCAGTAATCCAAACATCCCACTTTACCTGACAAATACCCTATTCCAGGCATCCTTGTTGTGTTTTATGTCTTCCTGCACTTCCCCAATCAACCTGGAGAGGGCGTTCACAATCTCTGACAGTTCCTGTGTATCAGTATGGTGCAAAAACAATATGACTTTAGTACTGTGAAATAATGGAGAAACCACATCATCCTCAGTTCCACAATGTGAGGGCTTTCATGATGTTGCTTACCTTTGTCATTGGCTGATGCAAACCCCTCTTGATGGTAAACCACTCCTGTGTACCTGTCTGATATACAAGTCAAATTATAAGTCATTAAAGACATATTATGATATACATACTGTTGGCAGTAATGTCATTTATATGGATACTGACCTGTATTGCATCGCCGACCTCATCATGTAACTCAAACTGAGCTGGGTTCAGTTTCTGAAACGCCTGAGTCTTACAGATCTGGACCAAGATCCTGAAAAAAAGAACATTCCTATATGGCTTACTCTTTTTAATTACAGCAGCTATGAATATATAAAGACAACCATGTGTACCTGAGCAGTGTGTGTAGTTTCGGAGTAGCACTGGGAGTTGGGGGGAAGATGTCTCTGTATTTGGCCACCAGACACAGCCCATACTGCAGGAAACCATGCAGAGAGTCCCCAAGTTCCTGTTTCTGTCAACAGAGTGCAACACCTTTCTCAATCCTTGTGTGCTTAGACAATACGTTCTGGCTTCTTTTTAACATTTTGTTAAAGGAAGCAGGAAAATGAGGCATAAAAGAGCTTATACTTATCGAGTTTTTAGGGAAACAGAAACATGTAAACATAACTTTAATTATGTTTTGTATGTAAAATCCTTTTCTACAAGAAACTAATAAAATGTCAAATAAATGTAGTAAAGTTAAAAGTACAATATTTGCCTCTATATTTTTTACTTTCCATCACCGACAATGCAGTGAGCATTTCTACCTGTTGGTATGGCAGCTCCTGCTGATGCCAGTGGTACTCTATACTGGTTAGCTGTTGGAGCAGCACAGACGAGTCCACCTCTAAACTCTGGTACAGCTTGCTGTAGGCCACCCACTTCCTGTCAAGGTCAAAACATCCACACATTTACTAAGAAATACAACTGAAAGACTACATGGCATGCGTCATTCCAGTGTTAACAAAGAGCTAGACTACACGTTACTGCTATCATTATATCAGTACAAATATTTTTGGATATTCATTGGTGAGTGTATATAAAATAAAACTTTGTCAGAATGTGAATGCAATAACTTTACATAAAAACCTTTGAAGAGACAGTTGACACCAAAATCAAAAATACTTCCTCTTCCCTGTAGTGCTATTCATCAATCTAGATTGTTGTGGTGCGAGTTCCTAAGTGTTGGAGATATCAGCCATAGAGATGTCTGCCTTCTCTCCAAGATAGTGGAAGTACCAAAAAATGCCTTTGAAAAACTCAAGTGCAATGTCTCTTTCCAGAAATCATGACTTGGTTACTCAAGATAAACCACACATGTTGTTGTGAGGAGTTTTACGTAGGAACTATTTTCTTTCTACTGAGCAAAACCCGCCAACCGTATCCCTGCACATAAGGAAGTGTGCATCTACTCATGAAAGGCTTGTGCTCGTGGTAGCGCAAGATGTAAACGTTAATGGCGTCCTCCTCGGCTGAGCTATTAGCTGGCTCAGTGGTGCTAGGTGACAAGCAGTGGATGAACACTTCCTTCTGTGCAGTGATGTGGTTGGCGAATATAGTTCACTAGAGAGAAAATAATTCCTACATGTAAATGCTCACAACAAGGTCTGTGGATTATCTTGAGTAACCAGGTCATGATATGTGAAAACAGACATTGCTTTTGAGCTTTTCAAACGAATATTTGGGGGCTTTGAGCACCACAAGTGCCACCTCGTTCCATTATATGAGAGAAGGCAGACATCTCTACAGCCGAAATCTCCAACACACAGCTACTCACCTTTAAAATTTGTGTGGGATATTTAATTCAGACAGTAGAACTTTGAAGTAATATGTTTCTATCACCTTATACAATATTACGGAAGGCTGATAAATTATAATAATTAATGGTGAAATGTATTATACAGCAAAAATTTTGTGCATTTATTAACATGGATATGTGTCTGTTTTTTGAGTGCATCAATTCCCTTCAGTGTGTGTAAGGCTCCAGATCTGGTCTGCTAGATGTTAACATGGTGCTTACGCCAGGTCCTGAAGAAAAGGTGAGAGGTCATTCTGAGTAGCGTAAAGCTCCAGCAGAATCTGAGCCTCGCCACACAGTGCCCCTTTCCAGGGAGCAGAACTCTAAGAGAGACCAAACAAGATGGTAGAGTTAAGAGGAAAGAAAGAAAAGTAAGTGATTTACAACTAGATGGGATGTGTGTGCTTGTCCTTTACCTGTTGCTTGGAGATGTAAGCCTGAACAAACTGCTGCAGAATCCCACAGTAGTTGATGTAAGCATTACGACCAGCACTCAGTGTCCCGTCTCTCTGTCAGACACAAAACACAAATCCAGTTTATAAAAATTGTTCCAAACTGAACTATATGCATACAGTTAAGCACATTATTGTCATATCCTATGCCCAATTGTTTTTCATAGTTAAACACTGGTGTCATTAATTTCACTTGAGGCCATAAATCCCAATTCCTCATCCAGATGCAACACTTGGCACTGTATTGGTGCACATCTTTTAATTTATTCTAACAGATGTTTCCATGCATAAATGTAATGCATGCAATGTGTTATGGGATGTGAATGCACTTTTTACCGCTTTATGGATGAACTTGAGATTCAGGTGGCACTGGCCGCGGTCAGGATATGTCTCTGTTCTGGGCTCCAGATTGTACCAGTTGTCTTCAGTACAGTGGAGATCCTAAGGAGAGATGACACAAATGAGTATTCAGCTGGGAAGACAGACAAGAGTAACAAAGCAGAGATAAGAACAAGAACATTTAGTACCTGTAGTTTAAGGACCACATTTCCCAAAAAGTCATCTGTGCCCTTCTCCTTTTTGGCCTCCTTGATCATCCTAAACAGGTACAAGTAGAAAAGTTCACCTGCTATGCTTGGTCATCTGTTTGTGTGTGAGTCACAGAGAGAGCGTGATACCTTCGTAAACTATTAAAGTTGGTTTTGATCTCCTCTAGTTTCTGAGTGAGTGAAACCTCTTCGTCCTTATCCCTGCAACAGGAAAAGCACTGGTGAGATGATTGTAATGAAGAAGATTTCAAAGCAGAAACAGTGGAGCTCTGGATGTTTTCCTCACCACATCTCGAGGTGGAAGCTGGCACCGACAATGTCTCCAAACTCTCTAAACCAAAAGGAAAGAAAATATATAAGAAAAAGAAATTTCAACCTTGCTCACCTGGCATAAATACACACATTTAGACTCACAGTACAAAGGTTTGGTTCCAGATAGGGTTCAGAGTCTGCTTCTTTATTTCTGACTGGTAGATTTTGTCATCGGATACAGCATCCTTTACAATAGATTTACAGGGTTTGGCTCTGGACTGGCGTGTTCGGCTCTCTGCTTCGTCCTCCATTATGGTCAGCAGGCAGTATGGGTCACTGAAACCTGTTCAACACACATGAGATCGGCAGTAGACTTAAATCATACAGCATGGTGACATGTAACAAAATTTAGAGATAAAATGTCCACATGAAAACATAAAGTTACCTGAAACACAACATAAAATGTAATCTTAAAGGGACAGTTCACCCCCGAATTATATATTTTTTTCTCTTACCTGTAGTGCTGTTTATCAATCTAGTATTGTTTTGGTGTGAGTTACTGAGTGTTAAAGATATCGATAGTAGAGATGCCTGCCTTCCCTCCAATTTAATGGAAAATTAGATGGCACTCAGCTTGTGGTGCTCAAAGCTCCAAAAAATACATCTGAAAAACTCAACAGCAATGTGTCTTTACAGAAATCATGACCCAGTTATTCAATATAATCCACAGATTTGTTGTGAGCAGTTTCATGTAGGACCTAACTACACCCAGCAACCAAATCACTGCACAGATGGAAGCATGCATCTACTGCTAGCTCACTTAGCACGACTGAGCTAGGTAAAGTTACAGCTCAAACGAGGAGGATGGCATTAATGCCCACATCTCGTGTTCACCCTGCAGGAGGCGTGCATCTACTCATGGACAAGAGGCTTGAGCTCCTGAGACTGTGAGTAGGCTACTAAACATTAATGGCATCTATCTCAGCTGAGGTGTGATGTTAGCTAGCTCAGTGGTGCTGGATATGCTAGCAGTAGATTCACTTTCTTAGCAAAGAAAAATAGTTCCTACATGAACCCATCACAATTTTAGTTTAGCATGTTAGCATGCTAACATTTGCTAATAAGTACTGCACACAAAGTTCAGCTGAAGCTGATGGCGATGTTATTAGTTTTGCAGGTAGGCCTGTCTGGTTAAAAACCAACAGGTTGGACAAATATGGATTTTGGTCTATGATGACACTAGAGGCAAAAATCAGTATTATTCAACTGCAATAACTCAGAGGGGAACATGAATGTTGGTACCAAAATTCAATGGCAATCCATCCATTAGTTGTTGAGACATGTCACTGTATGTAATTCTAGTGGTGACAGGTGAAAAATGAGCGGTCATCAAACTACTAAGGTTAGATTTCCAGGGAACCATGAATGTCTGCACCAGATTTTGTGCCAATCCACTGAGTAGATGTTGAGATAATTCATAAGTGAAAACTCTGAGCTGCTGGTGGCCCCAGATGAAAAGTCAGAGGATCACCAACGTCATTAGGATCCATTCAAGCTCACCAGTGACGTCTTTTCCGAGGATTCCCTTGGCTTCCTTCACAGTGGCCATGAGGCAGTATACTGGGGGCTGTAAAGGTCAGATAGTTATTTAGATAATATAGCCGCCTCAGACATGCAGATGACATCATTTCTGCCACTGGTAAACTAAATGGAAGGTGGTGGAAAGTTAAGAATGCTATAAATACATATAAGGGGTCTCTAAAGGCGCATTCATTGGAACAAACATGCTGACTTCCTTTTCTCACCTCTGTGCTCTGCACTTTCTCTGTCAGGCTTTTGTGTTCCGACTCTGTCATAGTGAAAGCCTGGTAGATAGGACAGATGGAACGAGAGAAAACAACAAACTGTTATCAGTCATGCACCAACACAGCAGCAGAGTTATGTGTTACGTGTGAAGCCAAAGTGTTTACCTCCATAATGTACTGGTGGAGCTGGCTGTCTGTGAAGACCTCAGTTGATGACGGTTTACCCATCTTATGAGCGATGGTGTACAACAGCTCCTTGTACAGAGGCTTCAGCTTTAAAAAGAAACATACCCAGTGAAAACATGGTTGGAAAAAAAAAACTTTTGTGTCAAGTAAAGCACATAAATACTGATACCTCCTGCTCCTTGTGTCTCCGCGCTTTCTCTTCTGGGTTTAGGTCTTCCTTGAAATCCTAAAGGAGAAGAGCAGGACATTTTGTCCATGATTGTGTCGAAAGCATGATATAAATTAAATATTCTGGGGTGTAATTTGAGGTATTTTAAGGTCATAGAGTGTCGCCTACCCTCCTGTCTCGTGATTTCCTCGTCAACCCGAGTTTACGTACAGGGGACGACTAACAAGAGAAAGACAGAAAAAAAGATCAAAATCAGCCATTGCAAAACATATCCTTAACAGACCATATCAGTGACTTCACATGCTGTTGCCCATTTATCATAAATACGTTACATTACAGTTGACTATTTTCCAAATCATGCTGCTGTGTTAATGTCTTTTCCCTGTTTCGAAACAGCCGTTGGTTTCCATTCATTTCCATTCAGAATACAATTTAGTTCATAGACTCTTGAAACTTGATTGAGTTAGATAATCCACCAGATCAGGATGTTACCAGCCCATTAAATGGCCCTTATCTGTGCTTATAAGCCTCATAGGTATGAGTCAGAAGGAGCTACTGGTAGGTTCAAAGGGCTTTATCAGCCTATTCAATGGCTGTTGCCAGTTCATTAGGTTTTGCTCTTACTTTCCTTAGGTTTAGGCCCCAAAACAATGTGGTCAGGTTTAGAAGAAGATCATAATTTGGCGTAAATGTTGGGCCTCGGACTCCTGGGTGAAAGTCCAGGCCCTTTCATGGGAAAGCCCTATCTTGAGGCCCGTTTCCACCGCAGGAACTTCAGGGTAATTTTACGGGGCCGGGGCCACTGGTGTGTGTCTCCACCGCAGGAACCACCCCTGAAGGACAGAGTTCCGGAACTTTTACGGGGCTAAACAAGTCCCTGCCTCGGAGTAGGTACTCAGAACGGCCCTGAAAGACTCCTGGCTGGGGCCTGGGGATTACTTGGTGCTGATTGGATATACTCAAGGAGGGATGTGATGTCAACGGAAAGCAACAAAATAGCCGGCATTTTTAAAACTCAGCAGACGAGGGTTAGCTCGTTCATATAGCTTCCGCCGCCATGTAAAAAAACTCACTAAATGGCCTGTGAAAAAAATATTTTTTCCAGCAGATATCTTAGTTACAACATGATTGAGCTAGCAAAGCAGTTTTGTGTTGATATGTGTGGTATGTATTCAGTTTTGGGAAATCACGATGTCTAGAAAGCATCAGTGGCTGCAGCTGACAGGGACAGCTAACAGCAGCAGCAAAGCTAACATCAGGACGTCATCTGTTAAAAGCCTCCCGTTGTCGGATACAACATGAAACTACTCCAGTTAGCTCAATCATGTTGTAACTAAGACATCCGCTGGAAAAAATTTTTTTTTTCACGGGCCATTTAGTGAGTTATTACAGACACCGCTAAGGGCTATCAGCTAACGGCATCCCTACGTCGTCCCGCTAAATGGTCGCGCAATGATTACGTCACATCCAGAGCCCGTAACTTTACAGGAACCTTCCTCGTACTCCGCTCTCTCATTGGAGACACGGCAGTTGAGAGGGCTGAGCAAGAGGACGTTCCTGTAGTAGTTCCTGCCCCCCAAATAGTATCAGGAACTTCTTCAGTGGAAACGGGCCTTTGCAGAGAGTTTCATTTCATGGCCTGATAATAGTCCTCTTATCCTAATAGTAGGTGTGGCAGGCCCCTACTAACCCATATCTATTATGCTTACCACCACTAATGACAGCCATTTAATGGCCTGTTAACAGCCAAATGAGCTGGGTAATCCATTACAGTAAACATTACAGGTCTACCAGCAATTACGCTAGCACCAGAGGGCAAGATTTTTAATCCCCAGCTCCAAAACCAATGCATCCCACATTTCCCATAGTATAAGTCAGTAGTGTCTTTTACTGCCCGGTTAATGCTTGTGTCCTTTCAAACTCCAAAAACCCAGTTTAAGAAGTGAAGCATACACACTTCGAGAGTAGTTGGTAGTACAGATAGGATTCTAAGCAGGATTCTAAAAGCACCTAAAAAGTTGTGATGGCAACATAAAAGGAGTATGGTGGTGCCCATTCGACAGGCAGTTGAAAGCTTCAGAACGTTTACTAGAGACAGCCCAATGCAATTAATGACAAATCTCAAATTTATGGCACTTGATGACCAGCCTTTGTCCAATTTTGCCAGCTAATTATGCATTTGGACCTGGTACACGCAGAGGTATCCCCACTCGCCCTGTATGATGTTGTCACCACACACATTCATAGTCTGACCAATACCAACATGAGCAACATAAGTTTTACCACAGACATAGAGACTTATGACATTAGTCCAGTGTGTATGTTTAGTTAAACAGCTCAGTGGCTGCATGAAGACTTTAACATGTTGTGTTAAAAATTGTGGTGTCGGTTAGATTTGGTTAGAGCTATGGAATATGAAACCATCCGTCACTGCTCACTACATCTTACCATTCTCACCTAAAATACAAAAATGTTAAATTATTAGTCAACTTATCAGTTTCTGCCATGAGAAGCGGGGAATTATCAGTTATCCATAATATGCATCCCTAAAAATGACATCTTCTATAATAAATACAAAAGAATTCACACTTTGAAATGCAAGGCGTACGTGTTTTACCTGTCTGTGTCTTGAAAAGCCATGTTCCTGAAAAACAACAAAGTAAATAAATGTGCCTATGATTAAATATAGGGAATCTAACCATGCTGTCAATATACATAGTTCAGTGAAATCAAACTGAAACATAAAGGTATTAGTAGGTGACCTCATCTCAGCATTAGCTCTAATAATAAATACGCAGAGACTGAAATACCTTCACTTGAAAAAAAAAAAAAGCATCACGAGGCTCAAGAAACAGTTGTGTTTGATTGCTGATAAGGCCTGCCTCACTAAGAGACTTCCTCTATTGCTGATAATAAAAGAGACTTAGAAGCAAAACCCACATTTAATATCAAAGCTGGGAAATTCAACTAGTAACCCATCCTAAAAATAACTATACAAATAAAACTAAACCGACCACATCTCACGCAGACGTGTATAACCATTTTCATTTTGTTTGCATATACAGCAGTAGCTTTGTTGCAGAACTACTGAATGCTCAAAATATGGCTCGATTAACATAACAAACAGTAGTGGGGAGTTTCCTTTAAATGCGTGGACTGCAGACAATTGCAGCACACACAGAAACACACTGTATGGCTGTCTTCCATGACAAATATGCTTCATTCTGCATCATCTGATCCAAGCATACATCCAATACGGCTGTGAATCATAGTCACAACATCTTGAAATAGCCATTTGGAGAACATGACTCAGTGTTTGGGGAGTAATTATTTTGACACTGTTGTAACTCGTCTGACAATTTTAGGTCTGGGTTTTTTTATGTCAGGTTTCACAAGAAAGATAGAAACATGTTTCATCAGCTTAAAACCTGAAAATCTGTGCAGAGATGATACAAATACAACCTAGAGAAACATAAAACACCTTCAGAGCAAAAGTAGATCCAGTGTTCATGTGTCTGACAGCATCAGTTTCACAGCGCAGTATAAACTGAGTAGTTAGTAACTGGCAGAGAGCCAAAATGAAACAAATTTAGTAGACTTTAGTTCAACATATATAAGTGCACTGTAGTCCATACCTGTTCAGGTGTTTGCAGTAGGTTGGCTCCTGCGCTGGTGGGTTCACTTTGACTTGACATAATGATGCTAACATTTGACAAGCTGACTCCTGCCTGGTAAGCTGCTGTGCTGTTTGTGTGTGTGTGTGTGATATAGGGAAGCTGTGTGCTCGGTGTGGTTCGATGAACTATCACAAAGCTGCCGGAAGTCATCACTTCCTGTAGAAGGTGGTAACGTCAGTAACTGTGACTTATGACTTTTTCCTCCATCTAGTGCCCTGCAGCGTGTCTAAATGCAAAAAAACAAACCTCAGTCGCTCAAAGTTGAAGCACAAACCCAAACTGTTGATGACTTTATTGGCTCTAGTTTTGCATGCGATGTTGTTACCTATAGGTCTACTGTTATTATTTTACTGTTAGTTACTATCACCATGGATCCCACAATGAATCTAAATCCATGATACATGTTAATTGCAGCTGAACGAGGCAATGAAACAGCATGTAACATGAGACAGTCCACAGCAGTCGCTCTGTGGTTTGTCTATTGTCAGCTTCACCTGCTTCCCATTAGGAGGTATTCTATTCAAAAGTTTATTTACTCCATTATACTATTGTAATTACTGCATTGAGAGTTCACGTCTGACAATACTTCACTGCATATATTTAGACACATCTACACACATCTACGCACACGCATCTTCTGTAGGCTCTCTATTTCTATTTCTATGTAACTATAAACTGTCTGCATCTTATCTATGACTGTCGGTGCTTCTAAAATGTTTTGATGGTACATTTTTTGTCACAGAAAAACACTATTTGGGATATAACAAGCACAAGAATGTTAGCTGTTGAAGTTGTCAAGGATCCCTAACTTGATACAAACTGGGTCACTGACTCCAGTTTTATATGAATCTGCGTCAGGGAGGTCCTTCTGAAAGATTGTGAATGCTAGATATTATTAAGACCAGAATTCTATGGATGTCAACAACAGTCGAGGAGGAAACCATGAAGGGGGTGACCTATGATCAGAGGATTTGGATCAGTTCTATAGTGAGTTGAGTGCTGGAACTCCCCAAAGGACCCTTAACGTCAAGAACTACTCAACTACAAGAACTTTGATCTATAAAATGTCAGAATATAAAGCCCAAGTTAACATATTCAACATATTCGCAACTGTGCTGCAAGTTTGAGGACTATGTTTGACGTCATTGCCAGATGGCCTTTTTTGGCCTAATGATAGTTACATCACATCCTGTGTATTACCACATAGATGTGAAGAGTTACTACATTTGACACTGCGATTTGAGCTAAATATGACAGTTATACAACCTACTTTTTCATGGCATGTGCACAAAAAATGAGTTCGATTCATTCCCACTTTGTGTTTGGGACTGCCTATGTGAGTGTCAGAGAGAGACAAAGAGAGAGCCAGACAGACAAAGCCCTCCACTATTGTTGCCAACCCACACCATGAATTTGCATCTTCTCGCATCTTTCACAAGCATGCGGGTACTTTTGCAACCTGACCACTCGCTTTGCTTTGACTCATTCTGAGAAACACTGTTACTTACTGAAAGAGGCACATGCCATACACTGGGAATGCGTAACACATCATATATCAAAGAATAACTGTTATGACCCTGTCCTATTTGTATGGCAGGGCATTTTAAGTATTACTCCATAGCCTGTATGATATTGTCAAGTTGGCCTGTAACTCATCTGAAGTAGATGCTCTGCCCCTTGAATAGTTGGGATTCACCCTGCCTAGTAGAAATGTCACCAGGCAATTAGAGTCCTCTGTATTAACAGATGTAAATCTAAGTAAAACACACACACACACACACACACACAGATATATACATTCAGTATGTGTGTCAAATTATGTTAGAATCTTGGGGCAAGACGCTTTAGCAAGGGAGCAAAACCCCCAGGGGCATCCTGCCTCACAACATTATCTAGTATTTAGCCATATGTGACTTAAAATAGTTCATGTCTACGTATAGGAGTAGTATAGTATAGTAGTTTTACCAGCTTGCTAGCATTATTAGCTAGTTAGCCAGCAATTAGCATTGCTAGCTATCTTGAATTAGCCAACCTTTTTAAGCAAGCTTGCTGGAAATAGACATCCTATAATAAAAGTCTGACAGAAAGATGACAAGGCTTCTAATAAAAGCCAAGGAAAATATTTTTCATTGTTTTTTAATTAAAACAAGACAGTGTTTACAGCCATGCTGATGTCAGCATGCCAACATCTTCACAATGACAGTGCTAACATGCTGATGTTTAGCATACTAACTCATGTTAGTTTAGCATGTTAGCATGCTAACATCTGCTAATAAGCACTAAACACAGTGTACAGCTGTGACAGATGGGACTGTATTTAGTTATGCAGGTATTTGATAGGCCCTCTGAGAGTGTGCTGAGCTTTGAAGCCAATTTGACATAGTGGCCAGTCTTGGGATTACAACTTCTGGATTCATCCAGTGATGCCATTGGGCCAAAAAAGTTTATGTCTTTTACACTGGAAAAGGGGTATCTGTAAATCAGTGGATACATTTTTCTGAGTGTCACACTCCCCATGAAATTATTCGTTCAACAGTTGAAATTTGATCCAGTCTGATAACATTTCGAAAGCCTAGAGGAGCCGCATGATTAAATCTTTGTTGGAGGACCAAACTAGAAGTTAGCCACTTGGCTGGTGAAGTCTTGACACTTACTCTACCCTGCTGAAAAAACCAGCATGGACCAGCATAGAAATTATGTTGGTCCATGCTGGTTTATGCTGGTCTGGTCCATGCTGGTTTTTTCAGCAGGGGGCCCAATGATATGGAAGATCCCAGTAATTTTACACCTGGGAAGTCAAACTTTTTGGGCTTCATGTGACACTGAGCAGCTTTCATATGAATGAATGGGGTCCTCCCCCCCAATGCTGTATCCAGTTCTATTTGTACATTCGTTAGCAAGATTTCAACAGCTAAACCAAAATCCATCGGCTGATCATAAAATCTGTTTGCAATCTCATAACTGATCCTGATAAAGGCCAAGGCCGCGTATAGGCTATCCCATAACATATGCTAATGCATATATGTAACCATGGTAACACATATGCACAAGGGTATTTTCCCTGATTGAAAAAGCTGTGAAAACTGCCATCATTGTATCTGACTGTGTACTTTGTCTGTTCATAAAGTCCATTAAAAAGTGTGTGACAGTGATCCCACTGTATTTAACCCCAAATCTAACTGTAGCCTACAAGACGCCTTTTTTTCATCCTGTCTCTGTTTGTCATACTCATAACATGCAATTGATTTGCAGTCTAATAATAGCCTACTAATAATGCTTACAGTCATTTATTTCTCTATGAGCTCTGTGTGACACACTTTAGAAGCATTTAAGTGCTGCTGCATAAACACCTGTCAGTCACCAGAATTTGATTTCTCCAAACAACACCAAAACTGTCCAGTCAGCGTGCTACCTGATTACTTCTCTTGGTTAGTTTGCAAAAAATCAGTGTGAACAGGAACTAAACCAAAACTAAAATGGCACAATGTATCATTTTTTCCCTCTGCTGTGGACCAAATGAACCAAACTACAGGTGTGAAAGCACCTTTCAACCCAGGCTGACCTGTGCCTGTTTACAGTCACTTAAAGTCCCTTTGTCTGTTTGGTTCCCTTCTGCTCAGTCAGCTGGAGGCTTTTTGGGATTCTCCGGGTTCGCAACAACGATCTTCATCCCCACTGCCACTCCAGCCGAGTGGGACAACCTGGCATCAGTGCCAGAATTATCATTCCTGCTAGCTCACCCTGCAGCAATAAAAATCATTTCCTGTCTTCGCTTCGCTGTGGTGGAGTGCCAAGTGGGCTAGATATGAATCCACAGTGTGTCACCACCTCCTGCACAAAGATGAAGAGTGATGATCTGATTTAGACCTAGATTTATTTATGATATGACTGTTTATAATCTTATTGTAAAAAAGGTTGCTAGATCACAGGGCTGACACATAGAGACAGACAACCATTCACACTCAAATTCACACCTACAGCCAAAATAACCTAGTCTGCATGTCTTTGGACTGTGGGAGGAAGCCGGAGTACCCAGAGAAAACCCACCTACATGCACACTCCGCACAGGGGGGCTCCCCCACCCAGGGGTTCGAAGCCCCCACCACAAATATTTGATTTGACAAATGTCAAAATTTTGTCCCAGTTATTTGGTGAAACTTTTTAGGTTCAATATTCTGAGGTCCTTCATAGTGTGCATTTTTCCAAAACACTATATCTACTTCACACTGTAGTCACAAGTTTGTTTGTCGTAACTTTTCATTTATTTAATGATGCAACTGTTATGATTAAGGAGAGAATAAGAGTAGGATCAGGCAGATTGTAGCCGTTGGAAGTCATATTTGTTAAATAGGTAGAGGTTACATTGAAATGTATGTAAAGACACTGTCATTTAAAATCATATGACCCTAAATTTAAGAAAATGAACAACTAAGATAGTCAAAACATCCTCGTAACTACATGCAAGGGCTGCACACGGGAAGAAAAAGCAACAATTATGACTACAAGACATACTTTTCCTTCAGTGTCAGACATAATTATACTTAACTCAATACAACTGTCTTATTCTTTCAATGTCTTTCGGTTGCTTCACAAACTATGGTATTCTTGGACTAAACATACTCTGCTTCTCTGGGGGACAAACACTGTTATCACATTGCAATTAGGCTTTCTTTGTGGTCTTTATTGATTTGTTTGTAATTATAAATAGGCTTATGTGGAAATGTGTGTGCATTTGGCACTGTATTTTATCTTTTGCTATTTAAATGTCTGCCTTGTAAAGCATTCTGATTAGGGCTATATTACTTTATTATTATTATTATTATTACTATTATTAATGTTATCACAAGATATGTGTGACGGATTAAACCTTCATTGCACAACATGAGACTAATAGCCTATCCTGATTTTCTATAAAACGTGGAGTTCGTTGTCACAACTAAAAGCCATGGTGGTATCTGCTGGTTAGACTCACAAGTCAGTCTTTAGACGCTTTGCGGAGATCTCTGATTGTCTGGTGGCGAGACTATCTGCTGGTTAAATTTTTACCGTTTCCCCTTAAAATCCTCACATCTCACTTACCAG